CTTTCCTGGTTGAATCCAGCACAGCGATGCTGGAGACAGCGGCATGCACCAGAAGATCCAGGTGAATGCGACCTTGACACCAGCTTGGGTTCTTTTTCTTGCAGAGACCCTGCGTAACAGGAGACTTGGGTGTCTCTCCAGAACAGAATCATGCCAGAGCCTCACTCACCCTTTTTTTTGTCTATTTAAGCACCGCAGAGGTTACATAAAGGTTTCTCCCTTGTCCCTGGCACACCAGCGAAACAAAACAGTACGTGAGGTGAGAGTAAAGGCTGAGCAATACCTTCAAAGGTATAGAGCGCTTTGCACGTTCCTATGGTGGGTAGTGGTTCTTCGTCATCAAATTCATCATCAAAATCCATTGCAGGTACTTTCATCTCAGTCTCCTGGCTTTGCTCTTCCGTGTAACTGCCATCCGGGCTGCTCAAGAGAGGAAAATACACAGCAACTATAGCGACCAGTCTCGGGAGCCGAGAGAAGGGCTCGCTTACCAGGCACTTCAGGCCGAGGTGAGAGCTGAGGCAGCTCGGCGGTCCCAAGGCACGCTCAGAACACACCAGCAGCTCTCACAAGCGATGGGTGAGACCGGCCACGTCCCCCCCTCTCACCCCCAGCAGCGCAGGGGCCATCACCCAGTTCATCGCGTGCAGAAAATCGGCGCTGAACGCGGGGATGGCGCACACGCGGAGCGCTTCCCGGAGCGCCCGTTTCTCAGCGCCGCCGAGCTACGGTTTTCCTGCCCAATCAGCCGAGGGAAGCGGGTGCAGGCACGGGTGCGAGAAGCACAGCTCTGTACAGATACTGTACCTCTCCCGGTCCTGCGCGCAGCTGTTCACCGCCGACGTGTTCTGGGCTTCGTAGAGTCCGCTCTGCCGCCGGGCCGGCTCGGTCCGCACGGGTAACCTGCCCTCCACCTCCGCCAGCCAGCCCTGCAAGGGGAAAGCAGCCTCAAGCGTCCCTCCCGCTGCCGCTCGCAAGGGGGTAGACGTCGCGTTTCCTTTGCTGCATCACATCGAACGTTCACGCTACAGAACTAAAACCAGGCTGTAAACATATTTAGCCTTTCCGTTGCGTTGCAGTTGTCAGGGGGAGCAGATTCTCTACTTTAAGCGTGTAGTGAGTCTGCTGGTCTTGCCACAAGACCGGATTCTGTTTTGACACGGATGCTGAAAACACGGTGACCGAGAGCAGACGGTAACAAGAGCTGCTGGGAGACCCTCCTGCTCCAGTCACCATCGAGTAAAAAGATGTGTGGCACCTTACAGTCGCCCCAATAACACTAGGAACACAGCACCCTCCGTGACTGCTGAGTGCAAGAGGACTACAGCAGGGGAGAAAGAGAGAGCCAGTCATTTCCAGACGGCTAAGAAAGCCATGGATAGTGAAGCCAACGGCTGTAAGAACCACCTAAGATTAATGGGCTGTATCTGTTCATGTACACAGCTGCACTTAAGAGTGAAGTCGTTACTCAGCCCAATAATCCTTCCGGTGTAATTATTGTGGCTCCATCTACTCCAAATGCTCCTTACGCTCTTGAGATTTTGCATCTCTAAGGAGCTCCCCGTTAACATCAGGCTACCCCTGAAAACACACATGATCTGACAGCCTCCCTCTCGCCATACAGCGCATTACACTTATTTATTTATTTACATTTATTTATTACGCTTCTCATTATTTAATTAAGCATCTGAACCCTCCCCAGGGCAGTCCAGAGACCACTGCATTTTTCTCTTGTCCTCCACTTAGCACAGTTTGGTTTTTGTGGCAAGTCCGACAGCAGGATCACTGGCCGACAGTACGAGAGACGGGGCATGTTTACATTGTACCAACAGGCTCAGAGACCTCAATCAGCACAAGTGCTCACGCGGCACTCACCCACACCGAGTAACAAAGGGCACCACTACACCCGGAAGAGCAACAAAGCACTTGCTTAGAGCTGCCGAGCTAGACGTGACTGAAACGTCTCTTCCCATACCTCAAATTTCTGAACTTCTAATCGTAACTTTTCGATGTTCTGCCCAAGTTCTGCTAATCTGTGGTCCACGCTCGCTGCATCTCCCATCTGGGGGTTCTTGACATACACATCTTTCATTTTCGTTAAGGCATCTCTGAGAGACAGAAGGAAAATGAAACGGGTTAGTGCAGCCGGGGGCAAATCCCCTTCTCTAAACGAAAGCCATAAACTGCCTCTTCCTCGCTCTGGGGCTTAACCCTGATCTCTTACAACGGTAACTGAGAACACCCCAACAGGGGCTTTCGCCCTGTATAGAACCAGCCATTAAAAATAACAGTGAAGTCACTTGCCAGAAGAGAATTTACACTCTCAGAAAGAGAGCGAGACGCCTCTGCCTACAAGGTGACACGTCAGAGACGCTGCACGCAAGCCAAGCTCCCCGCGTTAAGACGTTGCTCCTCACTCCACAGGCACCCGAGGGTTCCTCGGTGAGCGAGGCTGGCAGGGGAGCCTTGTCAGCGGGCCCAGAGGGCACACGGGCGACGTGCCACGGGGGTACAAGGACCCAAGGCATCTAGCCCGAGTGATTCCAGCTCCACAGGCCTCGCGTGAAGAGTCTGAGCAGAAAAAATGACAGCATTCTTGGACAGTGGCCTTTGCATGGCCAAAGGAGGAAGCTGGGGTTGACTTTGAGCTTGGCACGCTCTTTTGTTTAGTGCTAAGATTTCTAATTGCTAACTCTGGGGAAAAAATTGAAAAATCATAGAATCATAGAATCACAGACCGGTTTGGGTTGGGAGGGACCTTAAAGCCCATCCAGTTCCAACCCCCTGCCATGGGCAGGGACACCTTCCACTAGACCAGGTTGCTCCAAGCCTCATCCAGCCTGGCCTTGGACACTCCCAGGGATGGGGCATCTCACCACCACTGCAAGGAACGACAGCTTCAATTTTCTAGATTAGTATCATCCCAGTTTTTGGGGCATGGACAAACAGTTGCATCATTCTTCTCCATCACGGGCTGAAATCCAGTTGAGAAACTGGGACAAAGAGCTGGCTGTGGATACACTGGTAGTAGAAATGGAGTGCTAATCAGAAATCCTCACCCTGCCTGTTGCAGCTTGCCTTTTGTGACAGTCTGGAAGATATTTATTTCACACTGCTTAACAAAGCTAAACCCAGATGGCTTTGCACTTGTCACAGCACAGCGACAGACGGACCTCGGGCCACGTAACGCGATGCTGCGCCCTGTGAAGTTCCACAGCGTTTTCATTACTCCTTCGGGGCTGTGTTTCCCATCAACCCAGGTGCCAAGTGCCGAGGGTCTCAGAGAGGGCAATTTTAAGGCTTGCTCTGATGACTGTGACACTGTCAGGCCAAGGTTAACGTAGCACATGCCTGCAGGAGCTCCCTTGGGAGAGGCCACAGAGCTCCTGCCGCCGGAAGCCTCTGACCCGAGGCCGAACGTCAAGAAAGAGAAGTTCTCTGGTGACGCTCAGCATTTCGGAGCTAAGGGTGGATTTAGGAGCTGATTTCCTGCATTACTGGCCCAGCCATTCAGCTCTTCTCCAGGCATTAACTGAGGGGAGAAAGGTTAATGCGAGTCCCACGGCTCAAGTTAACGCTCTTTGTATTTCGGAGTTTCCCACCAAACTCCTGACAATCGCAATCCTGTGCCTGCCTCGGCGCTGTGCGCACAGCAGAGCGGGGAAACGTGTGGGTGGCGAGGAAGCGGGGCTGCTCTGTGGCTGAAGCCCGGAGGGACGGTGTTGCAAACGCATGAGTCATGATTATTACTATTTTTTAGCTCTCATTTAACTGCTGGTGCTGCTTCCTCAATCGTATACTGCCTTTATTTAAAAATCACGTAAAAATCAGAGCAGAATGGATTTATTTAACACTGGGTACCTCAAAATCAGTACAGAGCAGAAAGGAAAATCCATACTGAGACAGATGTGAGGGAAAGAACCCAAAGCAACAAGAAGTCATATAATCACGTGCAGTTTTCCTTTCTTAATTGTTATGGTTCCCCTTCCAGTGCCTGAAGGGGCTACAAGGAAGCTGGGGGGGACTTTTGACAAGGGCCTGTAGTGACAGGACAAGGGGGAACGGGTTTAAATTGAAAGCAGGGAGGTTTAGATTAGACATCAGGAAGAAATTCTTCCCGGAAAGGGTGAGGAGGCACTGGGACAGGTTGCCCAGAGAAGCTGTGGATGCCCCATCCCTGGAAGTGTCCAAGGCCAGGCTGGATGAGGCTTGGAGCAACCTGGTCTAGTGGAAGGTGTCCCTGCCCATGGCAGGGGGGGTGGAACTGGATGGGCTTTAAGGTCCCTTCCAACCCAAACCGGTCTGTGATTCTATATCAAACATAAAGTTTGGGTTACTAGACCAAATAAACTGGCTCTTCAAGTTACAAAGTGTAGGCACATCTGTACAAATGCAAAGCAATATTTAGGGACAGGCTAGTACTGGAGAGTCTTGAAATCACTCAGGGAGGTTGTGTCTCTTGCAAACACAACATGCTGAATCTTTAACACAACTGCAGAATGAACACGCAGAAAGCAACAAATACAGGCTGCCAGAATCAATAAAAATGTGTAACTGAAATAGCCTTTTTCTCAACCAGATAAATGAAGTCTTGTAAGAAAAGCATCCACAAAAGCACAGGAGTCATTATCTGCCTGCTCCCAAGAAACATAAGCTACGGATCCGACCTGATCCACTCAATCAGGAAAGAGAAAGCCAGCTTTTGCCCCAGCTCTGACCTACAACAGCCAGAATTAAATAATCGATTCCAGAATGGGGGTTGTGCGGAGCCTTGCAGCTCGCAGGGGGTTTTAGCCAAACGTAACTCCGGTTCTTTTTTGTCCTGGAACAGGCCCTTAAAAAAGCCTAGAACCTTCTCCTTATTGCTCTTTAACATTTGACTTGGTTCTGCTCTCCTGCGTAAGACCATCTACTCTGCTGTTCTTTGGAGGGGGTGACATACCTCTGATCCATCTCCTTCTGAATGTCTTTGTTCAGTTCATCAACTTTTTGCTGAAGTTTCTTTCTCCTCTGCTCAGGTGGGAGATTGCTGAAGTCCTCTGGGCCTGCTCCCTGCACAGATTGGAATGGAAGAGAAAAGAGGAAAAATCAGAGCCTGGAAGAACCCTTCAGGACTGCGTTTTGAAAACAGCTCACAGAAGCCTGTGCGAGACGACAGTGGTCTGAAGCATTGTTATTACTTGTACCGAGTTATCTGTTTGCCATCGGGGTGCCCCAGAAATAATCCCAGCACCGCATCCCACTTTCCTACCAAGGGGCTAATGGGAGATCACCAACTGAAGGATGACAGAATTCAATGGCAAAGCTGTTTTTATCCCTAGTTATGATCAGGTTTTATTTAACGGAACTCCATTCTCACGCTGATCCTTCCGGTCTTCCCCTACTCTGCTACAACAGCATCCCCAAAAAAGCAGTTGCCAGCTTTTACTCCTGTCAGCACGCTGGTAACTGCTGGCTTGGTCTGTGGGTGTTGGTCCAGTACAGCTGACTGCCGTCATGGCTCTCCGGAACGCACTAAGGTAGCGGAAGAGCTTCCTCTGGCATTTTGCAATTTAAAGCCGTGCTGCACGCTTCCCAGGATCCACATTCCGTGTCAAAGTCCCTAAAGTTTTTCCTCTCTCACTAGTTCTAGCATAAAAATCGGGAGTGATGTCAAAGCCACAGAATCAAGCCATTTGAAATCGTAACTGAGGAAAAGACCTGAAGACCAGGGTGGTTACCTTTGTGTGATTCTGCTTGAAAACCCCTTTTCTGCCTTCGAACCGCTACGCTGCTTCTCGCCTGCCTCAGTTTAACACAGCAGACGGGTGACACACAAAGCACACCCATTCTCTTGCCTCCAAAGTACCCCCTGTTTTCGTCTGGCAGGAGGGCGAGGGGGAAAGTTGGGGTGGGCAGCACTGAACGCACACCAACACTAACTAGTTGCACCATAAAGGAATGAGATCCTTGTACATTATCTTGAATTGGTACATGTTTTCCTTGTTTTGATGTCTGCTCATTCCACGTCTCGTTCCTAACGGGGAATAGCGGCCTAGGGGAGGAAGAAGGGCAAAACCAGAGAGCTGAGAAAGCACATTCAACCGCCCAGCAGCTTACTGAAAGCTCGCGAGCGGAGCTGCGTCACCACTCTTCCTGAAATGCCAAATCTCCCTCTCCGAGGAGCGTGACTGAGGGGAAAATCCACCAGAGCTGCCCATCACACCCTTTCCGCTCAGCACCGAGCGTGCTCCGAGACGGAGCGCTCCTTCTCCCGTGCTGGCAGAACGAGCTGTTCGAGAAGAAAGCGTGTGGGTGTCGGGGGGATGGAGGACGACAGGCAGGTCACATCCTCTGGTCCAGCCATTTCAGAAGAAGGGAACGGGTATGCCTAGTGATATCGCTGCCATGCTGACCTGCCCTAAAAGACGGCACACGCGCCCAGCTGGGCCTTGATCACCCGTGTGCTAAGACGTTCAAAATCCCAGTCGTGACACAACGGGAGAGCAAACCCCTGGCAAATAACAGGTCTCGAAGGAAGCTGGGGGGGATGGGAGAGCAAACCTCTGGCAGATGAAGGGCCTACAAGGAAGCTGGGGGGGGACTTTTTACAAGGGCCTGTAGTGACAGGACAAGGGGTAATGGGTTTAAATTGAAAGTGGGGAGGTTGACATTAGATATCAGGAAGGAATTCTTCCCGCAGAGGGTGGGGAGCACTGGGACAGGTTGCCCAGAGAAGCTGTGGATGCCCCATCCCTGGAAGTGTCCAAGGCCAGGCTGGATGAGGCTTGGAGCAACGTGGTCTAGTGGAAGGTGTCCCTGCCCATGGGAGGGGGTTGGAACTAGATGAGCTTTAAGGTCCCTTCCAACCTAAACCAGTCTGTGATTCTATGAAGGAAACAACTACGTAAGTCACACCACTTCTGAAACTTCGACCACGTGAAGCCCTAGCAGTGCTTACATGGCTCGTGCTCAGTACGGGGAGATCTACTTTAATGATGACATTTTGCTACAGAGGAACTCCCACATCACATTAGACATGAGTTATTCAACAGTTCCTGTGTGATCTGCTCTAGGATCCTGCTCTGGCAGGGGGGTTGGACTAGATGATCTCTAGAGGTCCCTTCCAACCCCTTCCATTCTGTGACTCTTTCATGGATAATGTACACGCTAAAGCCATGCATATCTTTTGAAGGCAAAGCATCTGGGGGTAGCTTTGTAAATAAACAAGGCCTCACAAGAAAGACTATCTCACATTCTTCTCAGCTCTGAGCAGAAGAGAGATGCTTGAAAACACCCCGTTGTATATTAGAAGACTGAGTAGATGTAGTCAAACAGGTTTGGAAAAAAAAGCCTTTTCTTGTCGACCCATCACCATCATACAGAAGCTCTAGGCTGGTCTCAGTTCAGTATCTTTGTTCACAGTGCTTCAGACCAAAGCATTAGTGCTGCATCGAAAGGCATGCCTGAGACTAGGAGGTGCTCTCACCCAGGTTTTACTCCGTGCTCAACAACTTTCCCCTGGTGACAGCAGCTACAGCTCCTCCTCCAACGGGAAGGGCCAGGGAGCAGTTTTTGCACATGCCGGGCACATGTCATGCTCTCACACTAGGGCACAGCGGGCTCGCTCTCACGTCGGGAGCGCTGCCTACGTTCTTACAAATGCTGCCACAGTGAGGTGAGGGGAATCCGTGCCATTTTTGACATGTTATCATAGAACCAGGAGAGCCAGTGCTCCCAAGATTTCCTTCCATAAAGATGCTGGGATTTAAGATGCAAATTGTCCCAAGGTGACAGACTGAAAAGAGAGGCCACATTAGCGCCAGTCTCTGGGCTGAAGCTACATATGGGAGAGCACAAGGTTTACGAGCCCCAGTTTTGGCTCTTGTACCGCTGGGATCCGAGAGGAAGTTACGGAGAAGCGGGATTTCTCCACCTGAGGTGCACACAGATGTCAGCCTTCTCTGCGTGCGACTCGTGCAGCTCCTGGGGAAAGGCCGGGCCAGCCATTTATTCTGGGAGGATTTGCTCCTCCATACAAGGGCTTAGCCCAGCCATGCAGCCTATCAGCACTGCGAATAGGAAAACAAGGAATGGAAATCCCTGATGTAAAATGCATTGGACTCCGAGCCAGAAGAACAAGGTCTGGAAGTAAGCTAGAGGTTGCCATCCTTCCTCAGGCCAACCACAGGTCTCCAGCGAGAGGGAATACTGCAGATGGAGCCCAAGGAAGTCCCTGTGACAGAGCAGCAGCAGGACCGAAGCCTCCGGAGCTATAGCAGGCAGCTTTCACGGCCCACGGGCTCCCTTGGAGTAAGGCACTATGAACACAACAAGTCCACAACCTATCCAAGAACAATCGACGTGTAGGGGGAGAGAGAGCCCCCAAAGGCACTGACTGGCGAGGAGTCAAAGAACTCTCAAGCTACTGCACCTAAGGCACTAGGCAGACCCTCCGAGGCCCTCGGGAACTGCCGTCGGTCACCCGTGGCTCCTGCACGCCGGCACAGAGTGGTCAGCGGCCCAGTCGCGTTCTCCTCGGCTCACCAAGGGCAAGGGAACACAGGCAAGCTGTCGGGGACGTGTCAGGGCCTGGCGTGTCTCCAGCACTACGGTACCTCGTGTAGGAGGTTCAGCACGTAACTGGCTTTCCCCAAACAGCCCCCTCCCTTCCCTTTCCAGCTCAGTAACACGTCATCTTACCGTAGTTCAAGAAACCTTCTCAGCTGCATCCAAGACAGAATTTAGGATTCACAAACAGCTCCATTTGCGAATTTAAATCAGACTGAGTTAACCTTGTTGGTTAAGGTTCACAGAACTGTAATTAATACCATTATTAGTTACTCTGAAGGACTACATAGGGCTGTAAAATGTAGGTGATAACGATGCAGATTTCCAGTAATACCTGGACATGGAAAGGAAACTTTGCAGCTATGTTGGGCAAAAGACATGCATTTCTGTCTGGAAAAGGTCCAGCAAGCAGAGACCTTTTTTTATTTTTCTTTAAAAGTTTTAATGAATACTTATATGGTAGCAGAATTACTTGATACTGTTTTTCTACATTTTCATAGCCCTAGATTATAAAAGTGAAAACTAAACTATGTATTAGAATTAATTTTTTAGCAGCTTATTAGAAAGACTGAATTCTGATCACCTCTAATAGACTCCAGACCTGTGTATTCAGAGTTATCTGATAAATATAAAAAAAAAAAAGCAAACACAAAGAAGAAACAAATTTCATAGTTAATTTCAGTGTCATGTCATATGTGGCACAGTGCACATTAAAACACACACAGAAAATGGTGATTAAAACACAGGACAGGCATGCTTAAATGTGCTTACCAGCTTGAGAGAAAGCTTCATGTAAAAATTGGAGAGATACAGGGTGGGGGGAGAAAGAGAAAAAAAACAACAGTGCATCAGTAGAAGAGGAACTTTTTCAGACTGAGGTTACAATAAAATGACACATAAACCCTTGCTGTTGGAAGGCAAAATGGGTAACACTAACAGGTCTGTGCGAAAGTTCACAAGGTGGGTCAGCATTACCAGTGAGCTGCCGTCTCCTCGCCAGAAACACAAGTGGCAATTGTTGTACCTCCGCACGCGCGCTCGAGCGCCGCAGGCGAAAGCCTGGCCTGCCTGGATCGCCTCGCTCACGGCGGCTACAACTGATTTTTTCACATTACTGTAACACCTTTGAAGTGGAAAACACCCTCAGAACTTGCAAATGTATGCAAGTCACTGCAGACCCAAAATGTGCGGAAACACAGTCTCGAGCATCACCCCTCTGCGCAAGGGCTGAAGGGAAGGGAGGGTAACACCCGGCCAGAGCCCGCGGCACTTGGTCTCCTGCTGCAAAAAGCACCTCGGGATCTCCCCACATCTCCAGTGACCTCCTAACTCTCAGGTCAATGTCCAAAGGACAACATCCCTGACGTATCCCAATGGCGTAAGGTGCTGTCCGGGCAGTGACCTGAAGTCACTTCACGTTCTTGAACAATTCAAAGCCAAATACTCAGTCTTAGACGTACTTTGCCCACCCAGTCAGACAAGGTCAGGGCCAAGGAGGAGATAAACACCTCTCCCTTTACACCAGACTGATTCCAGGGCAGCGTAATAAGACATTATTCGAGCTCCTTAAATGATATATGTGATCTGATTCTTCAAAGGTTACCGCAGTTCCTGGTAGAGAGCCAAAACATCATCTTTTAGTTGCTCTGGGAAAGTTACAGACCGAAGTATACCCTCACAGGGCCACGGCAGCATGGCTTGCCTCTGCCCGATGCCACTCGTATCCCCAGTGCCGGAGTGGCTCGGAAACTGCCGGGTGAGCAAACCACCAAAATCACCAAAGCCTCTCCCAGTGTTGCAAGATATTCCAACAGCTGCAATTCAGAAAGCTTTCCAAGATTTAGGGAGACGAGCAGTGCCACAACACTGTCTGACCTGAGCCCAGGGGCACACGTTGGCTGCTGTTTGAGATACGCTGCCACATTTTAAAGGGAGAACCAAAACTACACCCAGCCTCCTCCTCCAGCAATCCGCGCTGCGCCTGCCCCACCAGCTCTGCAGGCACAGTTCACAGAATCACAGACCCATTTGGGTGGGAAAAGACCTCAAAGCCCCCCCAG